TTTTTTTATATATGGATGAAAGTGGGCAGCTTATTGGGCTCATTAATGAATGCTCTACTTCCTGGATCGGGGTCAGCATTTGGGCAACTAATAAAGGTATTGGTGGAGATGAATCTCAAAGACCCAATTCTCAGAGGCACACATATTAAAGTAGGAGCTGAAAGCAAATGGGTGGAGTTTTGTCTTTCCTCTTTGTTTGTAATATTTTTGGGCATATGGTAACCGAGGTACCCGACTCGGGTCGTTCTCAAAGGAAGGCTCTTCGAATCTTTGTTCACTACCTAGTCGTCAAAGTCACACAACCGAAAAGATCCTAAACATGCTAATCGCTTGAATTGAGGGGTTCGATTTAAGCTAAACTAATCTACAAAATTGAGAGCATTGAAAGCAATTAAAGCACGCAAGAAGATCAGAGAAATCAAGGGGGAAAGAGAGATTTTGGTTTGACGGAGTCTCCATGATCAATCACATGCAAATAATCGAACATTGCCATGCTAGCTAAAACCTTAGGAAGCTAAACAAAGCTCTAGCACAAAACGAGCAAGCATTCAATTCCTAATCACGCTTAGTCAAGTATTCTCGATCCAAAGATTCAACTTTTTATCCAATCAACACAAGCACAATATCAATTTTCACGAAAGCAAACAAAGATATACGAAGTAATGAGGCTTAAGACTAAGTACCCACTCTTGCATGCACTTGGAAGAAGAAACAGAGTCAAAAGCTCGAAATTTTACTCGAAACAATATTGCCGGAAATTTATCGGAAAACTTGATTCATAAGCTCCAAACCACAATATAAAAAATGAAAAAAGAAAATAGAGAGGAATTCCCAACTTAAAAGTTGGGAAATGAGGGTTGTGTCCAAAAATACAAAGCACAATGTCTATTTATAGCTACACCACAAACACACACTAAAAAGACACACATTGAATGAAATTCTACAGTTCGCGAGTCTCGAAATGGAGTTCGCAGCGAGTTTGGGCATGGAGTAGTGCAGAAATGGGCTTTTGCGGGTCGCCAATGGGAGTTCGCTGGCGAGTTGGGCTTAGGAAGTTGTAGTGCGCGTCGCGGGTCGCCAACTGTGTTTCGCCAGCGAGTGCTTGGGAATTGAGCTGTTGGCGCGCGGCTTCGCGGCACGCGAATGGAAGTCCGCCAGCGAGTGCTTGCGTAGGGCTTGCGTTTGGCGCGGCGCGAAGCTCCGTTCGCTGGCGAGTGCCGCGCCTAGGTAATGTGTGCGCTAGCGGTCTTCGCAGCCCGCAAAGGAGACTTGGCAGCGAGTGGCATGTTGGTGATGGGTGCTGGTGCGCGCGTCTCGCCAAGCACGAAATCAT